CTTACATTCCCTCCTTTTATCGTCTTTCACAGTCATACGCGATCTATATATTATAAATAAAAAAGTAACGATGTTTGGAAGTTTGGATGTTTGTTACTCAATCACGCCAAAACGGCTAGACGTATTTGGATGAAATTTAAGGAATAGGACATAAGGTACTTTTTGTTAACATACCACGAGGGCGAAGGCATCGCAGGCGGAAGCTAGTTTTTATAAGCTTGACGTTTTTAACAAATTTCTCTAATCACAAATAATATTCACACAGTATAGGTGTCTCGCATCGTACCTCGATTAATATACTTAAAAGTGTTAGTAATAAAATGCATCACTAAAGGTGAATGAAAGAAGTAACCTTGTTATTTACGTAGGTACAAGAGATTTGTGGCATTCAGCTAGTGGAAGTTTTACAAAAGTATAAATTAGGAACGTTAAAGATGAATGCTTTAGGAAACGTTGTGGCCAAACAAAATAAATTGTTGTAAGAAACAGTGATCATCTATTACTATCTACCTAGTGGGCGTTTAAATTGCGTTAAAGATATTGGAAATGGTAAACTTCCTTTTCGTAAATACGAGGTTAAAAAATTATCCGTAAAAAACATTCATGCATTGGTTTTCTACGTTTTGAAAAGTCAAAAGATTTGTGATTAAAAAAGATCCCTACAGTTAGTAGATTTTTGTGAGGGGAAAATCATCAAATGACTTCTCCCGTCCAGGGCCGGGCGGGAGGGAGTGTCAGACTCTTACTGACTAAAAACCCCGCCTGTTCCTTCTCCTGCTCTGGGCCGAGGTCGCGGTGCCTCATTGCGCTTACCCCGCAACCCCGGCTGAACATCGGCTCTATAGAGTCCCGTCTGTGGTGGTCTATTGGCTCTTTGAGGCGCGCGCGGAACACTACGCGCCGTACTACGGCCGCTTCCAGTCGCCGGAGATCGACAGTTAGTAGGTTATGATATGAATATGTAATTGTTGTAGGTATGTAATTGCTTATGACAAAAAAGGCAGCATATTTTGATAATCCCAGGTTTACTTAAGCACGTAACATCTTGACAAAATTGACAAACCACTCAAAATTAATATTTGATAACCAAACCTGATATTTGCTCGATCTTTATCTACGAACAACATAAGTGCTTACTGGTAATATCAAGTAAGTACTTGGCAATATTCAATGTATAGCCTGAATTTTCCTTAAGATATTTTTATACGACAAAAATCCTATATTTTATAGGATAACAATACATACCAAACATATTTCATACATGTTTATGAACACAATGATTTTATGTTTGACCAATTACAAAAACATCGTAGACTTGTTTAATTCTAGTGCTAAGCACATAGGCAAAGCATTAAACACAGCAAATATAATTATAATGTCATAGAATCTAGACAAATGCTTTTCGAAATCGAAGGTCATTTCGTACTTCTAAAAAATGGAATAAATGATATGTACATTTTTTTAATCATTTAGTTTCTGTTTGACTGCTATCCCAAATGCTTTCCGTTTAGATTATTTACTTCCCAAATGTAAATTATTAGACGCTCGTATGTTAACAGTCCATAAATCTAAAGCAATGGATTTTACCATACTTTGGACTAAAACTCATTGTAACTGTAAGATAAAAAACATTACCCAGTGAAGTTAAAAGTCAAATATATACTTGATAGAAATAAAATATATCAAAGAAATAGTTTTTTAATGATATGGCAAGCACTACCTGCCTAGTTTGCGCATTAGGGTTTTGAAACACAAGGGTTGCGGGGTAAGCGCAATGAGGCACCGCGGCCTCGGCCCAGAGCAGGAGACGGGGGGGTTTTTAGTCAGTAAGAGTCTGACACTCTCTCTTGCCTTACCCTGGGCGGGAGAAGTCATTTGATGATTTTTCCCTGACAAAAAAAAAATGGGTTTTGAAACACAGCGCTGTGGTAGTAGCTAGTATTCCGTGAGGCTCCGACCGAGCCGACACTCTTGAACTATCTTCTACTCGAATCGCATTAAAACATCCCCTATAACGTCATTAGTAATGTGTGGGTCCTACATCGTTTGTCTACCAAATCGGAGTTTAAACAAACATTAATACTAAATCAAATAATATTATTTGTTTGCAGGTTGATTATACCAGATTCAACAACACTTATGAAGTGGACACGCCCCTGTGTTCCTCGAAGCAGCTGGACGAGTTAAGAGCAACAGTTTCGACCTCACAGAAATTAGGTACGCATTATTAAATTTGCATTTAAAAGTTCATTGCCAATGTTATTATTTATATCAATATCCAATAACTGTTTATGAAAGTAATTCATAGACAGTTTTTTAGATAACCTACCACAATTAGATGAGAATGAAGTTGTACCTAGGTACCTGCACTTGGTGTACCTACAGGTTTTTTATTTGTAATAAACAGACTGCTTATTTATACATACATTATGAAAAGAAACCTTTGATCAAAAACACTTTTCTTCTATTTACACACTTTCGTATTGTAGTTAAACTAATTAAAATTTTCTACTTCTAGATCGTATGCTAGGCACCATCCCGAAGACATTCTCCGCCGACACTCTGGACTTAAGCTCCGTCGACTCCATGTCACTCGACGAACACATAGAAATCAAGATCCCTGAAGCTCGAGCGAGGGAGAACAGGCTAATGGCTCAGAACAACTTCGTCCATCACATCAACGAAAAGTCTAGAAATCCGAGCCACACCCATTTAGCTGTTGAGAACCTGCAGGAAATACATAGGAACCCGGTCCCAGTAGAGTACAAGCATCCTGAGTCGAAGGAGCATATGCACAGGAGTCATAGTCACGCTAGCATGAAGAAAGTCCACGGCCTGACCCCTAACGGCATCGGCCATGCGGGGAACGGCCACACCGACCATAAGCATGATGAGCACAGTAAAATGAGAAAGTGAGTGTCCTGTTAGGAGATCTTAGCTTAGCTTTTATATGCGTACAAATTCAGAGATTCTTTTTGACGATATGCCTATGCACTTTGCAGGAACTCTAACTAATTTGTCAGTCACTTTTAAAGTACCAGAATGTTATATGTATGTACTACATACCCTGTGTATTTTAAAGTAAGAAGGTAACATTTGACTAATACAACATAGCCTCATTAAAACATAATTAACATCAATGTCCTCCATTCTAGATCCCCAAGTGAGAACCACATTGGAAACAAACAGCCAGTGATCCCGATCTTGGTGACGTCCCCGGCCCCAGAGCCCGCCTGACCCCTGCGAGACCACAACCCCTCCGCAGTCACCGGCGCGCGGCTCAAGAAGCCCCACGTCACCTTCTCACCCCACACAGAGAGCATCGAGAATATACACCTTACCATTGATGAAGAATAGAAGATTTATAACAAAAATCACTGCAAAGTTCATAGGAAAAATATTTTTCACTTGTATGAGAATTAGTATGACTAAGTGACACTTTTATAAAATAGGTTGTAAGGTAGAAACTTTTTTTAAATCATTGCAATTTTAATTATACAAAATATATCCTTTTGTACTAACAAATAGAACACAGTCTTGCGTGTTCAATACGAAAAGAGTCTACTTAACAGAGGTTAGTTGATAAATCTTGTTAAGGTTGAAAAAAAAGTTTGTACTTATATTCAAAGTGTTTATTGCTGAGGTACTTTTTCTTATATACATTCTATTATTAGTTACATAAAAACTAAAGCTTCATGCGTACATATGTGCCAACGACTTAAAATGATACAGATATAGATTTGTAACAATGTTCTACTTCATCAAACATCGATGTACCAGATCGGGTTGTATTTAGACCAAGTATTTATTTAGGTAATTTAGTGGACGTAGGACGGAGACTAAACTTCTAGAACATTCGTGACATGAAGCTTTAAAATCTTAGTTAATCATGTCTCCAATTGTTTGTAAGATTACGAAATCGTAGGAGTAATACTTGTTCTGTCAACAGTCAAACTAGAGATGGAATTTAAAGTTATTTTTAAGGAATATTTATATTTCCGATGACGAATTTAATGCAAAATTTTTATTAGAACGGCCCCTGTTCTGTATCAAATTGGAGACCAGTACTATTGTATGAGTAAATTCCAAAGAGAATATTATTAAGGGATGATTTTTCAATGGTTAGATAAAAGTTACCTGGGAAAAATTATGACGCTGTCGCGTCAGAATGTTTGCATAAGACAGTGACAGCAACAATTTTATTCCTTAGATAACATTTATCTGACTATTGAAAAATCAATCCTAAAGTAAAATAAATTATTAAGCTTTTACGCTTTCGGATTAAATCCAAAATCTATTCGATAGTATTTATATTGTGTCGAGTTGACGTTGAAAGTTGTCAATGTACAACTTGCTTTCCTAACGCTTAATGTATGTACAAATATCGTACAAAATACTATTATAATGTACAACAATCATGTGATATATTTGGATACTTAAATTATTCGGACGAAAGTACTTAGAAATCAGCCCCGCACTGAGCTATTATTATCGACACACCTTCCTTATGTAGTTGGTAAAGTTTATTTAAAATAAGTGTTAGTTCTACTAATGCTGGCAATATGTACTGATTATAATATTTTATTATTATAAAATAATAATAACAATACTATTATTAAAGTGTTATACAAAAATCAAAGTATTATTGTAACGTAATTGTTATCGGCAGGGGCCTGTCGCAGCGCGGGCGCTGCTTTTTTTATAAATTAGCCAAATGCTTTGTCTATTCCTGATAGAATATATCGGATTAAACAAATATACTTGCTAGTTTAAAACCACAACACCTGCCTTTTATTTACCTCCTACACGTTTTCATTTAAAAACATATTTTAATTCTACAATCTTATATTTTTGTTAAATGTTTACAACAATGTTTTCCGCATTCATATTTTTTTTTCTAAAGATAAACATGTCATGAACAGCTGGCGTGGCACCAAATATGCGAAGCTGTACTGTCGCTACTCGATAATAGATGGCGCTGTCCTCAATTAGATCGACGAATGGTTGTCTAAAATATTACAATATTTAAATAACAATTTAAAGATATCTTATCATTATGAATGTAAATATCAGACACCTAATAATCTAATTTTCCACAATAGGAACAAATGTACACTTAGAGATACAATCTTTTTTTTTATAATACATCGTTATTTTTCTTTAGGCAAACCTAAAGTTTTCACTTTCAAACACTGTAGGCATTATCAACATATCAGTATAATGAAAATTCTTACATGCTCAATGTGACAAGCGACCTTATAATACTAAAACAGATGTTGCAAATAATATCAAAAGAAAAATTTGCATTGCAACGCTAGATATCAATGACTATCTCATCAGAGATAAGCAGAGATTGATAGGTCTGAATACTGGGTCGATTCAGCATATACATACATATTTATAGGGTTACACATACTATTTATTACCAAGGCCCATTAAGCTTTACTGTTCTTCTTCTTGACACGTCGTCTTTTCGTCTCTTCTTCACTGGAAGACGAAGATTCTTCTGTAGGACTGCTGAAGTAGTTTGGTGGATACTTGACAGAGGAAGGTCTTCGTGTGAGGCTAGCTCTTCGGATAGCATCAGCCACGAGTCTGTCAGCAATGTTCACAAATGGAGGTAGCATCGCAGAGTTGATCGATTCTCGTAGTGTTACGTCGCCCGGTATCGACGAACTGGTTGCTACATATCCTGCAATAGATATTACAATATTGTTAGTAAATATCCAAAATAAAAATAATATAAATAATAGATTACATGCAGAAGAAGATTTCAAAGATAGAAACGACAATAAAAAAGAAGAAATGGAGCTGTTTGAACAAAAAAGAAGAATCAAAGAACAACGTTTGATGAATGGCGCACTGATGTCATAAATTAGAACTTTTAAATGGAAATGCAAATAGACCATTTTTTTCAAGACGATGGGGAAAGTCAATGTGGAGGTAAGTAATTTTTAATGCGAAAACATCAAAGGATAAGACATGATAATGTCGGAATCTTATCTCTTAATACAATACCTATAGTAAGTTATAAGTTTGAAGAGTTATTTAGATGACGGATTACCCTAGTCCGTTTCTAGGTAGATTGGTACCTACACATAATATAGTCTTTTTATAGCATGTTCTGAAGGGCAAAGCATAAAAGACTTCTTAATTACAGCTATTAAAGTTGCTTTTAGATTAACATTTGATATATTTTCAATCACGTGCTTCATCCTGCACCTGATTCGTAGAATAAATCCAGATTTGTACATAAGGAAAACTTATAAAAAGCCTACAATTTGCTTTAATTAATTACTAAGGACCAGTATTTACTAAAGATTCGATATTTTTTTCCGATAAGTTTTACTGAATCACAATTATTTGTTCACACTAACATTGCTTAGTTAGTATTTCACTCATAAAATATTTCAAGCAGGAAATGAGCTCATTTTAAAAGTCAATCTATGTAAAGTTCATTGATATATATGTATTCCGAGATTTTAAAAACTGCAGCGTTTAAAGGTAAATTTCCACTAAAATACCTAAATCAAGACATCATAAATTTGGCCTATAGCACCCTGGAACATTGTAGCTATCTATCAGTGAAAGTATTTAGAAAAGCATTTTGGAAATCCGACCAGCAGTTTCAAAGTTTACCTCCTACATACAAACAAACAAATCTTTATAATATTAGTATAGATACATAAATGTCCATGTATAACTGCGGTCACTCTACCTATATGTGTATACATACGTATGTATATAGTATATGAGTATTTGTGACTTGGGCCTTGGTCATTCATGATTGTTAAATTTGAACCTTTAATTGTCAATTAGAGAGTATAAATCAATATAGTCTTGTGACGTAGATACATACGTCGCGTCGATATGTTTATATCATTTTTGAAACAATACATTTACTTGATTGCTATAAATTACGTATTGTGAATGTTTTATAACTATAAGCTTTTGTTTAGTGGGCTAAAAAGAGGTGCTAATTGAAAAGATGAAATTTGAAACTGAGCTAAAGTTGGTATGGTGGTCTTTAAATCTCCCAGAAATAAAAAAGAGACATTGACACGATTGTGTAGCTTCGTAGGTCAAAAATATATTATATTTATTTTATGTTTAAATTATTTTATTTTTTTTAAATACTGAAGTCAAATTAATTGTAATAAAATTCATATAATAATTAATAAAATTGATTTGATAATATAAATTATTATTTTTTTTATATAATTTTTCAGAAATAATTATAGGTACTATTTGATGTAAAAAACTAAAACTCATACCTATATTTACCTTTTATCTATTAGATATCGTTTTGACATTTCTATAAAATTATTGTATGTAAATAGTTGGAATTATTGGCCACCTGCTGATGAGATTTATAACTCATCAACGTAATTATATGTAGATATGGTATGGAAACATTGTTGCCATTTATTTCTATACCTTTTCTAAGCAAAACTATCCACGTTATTTCAGAAAAACCCAAGACACGAACACCTTCAATAACTTTTTTTTATGTTAAAGGTCGGCAAACGGGCAGACGGATTACCTGATGGCAAGCAATCAGCGCTGCCCATGGACACTCGCAACGACGGATGAGTAACGAGTTTGTTGCCGACCTTTAGGGGACTAGGGATTGGAAGATTTTGGGAATTAGGAGGGATTGTTGGAGGAGAAGGATTGGGCTTCCGGTAACCTCACACACACGACGAAACACAACGTTGTAGTTGTTTCACGCCGGTTTCTCTTCTTTTTAAAATAATATTCTTAGGTACATTTATTGTTAGGTACTACTATCAAATATGATATTTTCAATACATAAGCGCTATCTATAGTATATTTTCTAACACACTTAGATAGTGTTTTATCTCTCAAGGTCAAGTTTCACCTTACCTGGATCTGATCGGTATAAGTCAACGTCACACAGCGAGACAATGACATCACAAACATTTGAACACACAGACACACACGATAAGCTGACGATAATCTCCACCAATGTCTTACAACAGACAATGAACCTTCAGGTACTAATCGCCCAGCATTATTGCTTTAATTGGTGATTAACTTTGATGGGATAGAAGGCGAGGAAAATATCTTTGTATGACTTTTATCAGTATAGCTTTAGTCTATCATGTAAGAGGCTCACAGCCTGAGTTCAATTGATGAAGTACAAACAAATTTGTGTTTTAAACGCCTTGTTTAAAATTCATTTTATAATAACACTATATTAACTAAACAGTCATCATTCTGTTGCAACCGTTCAACCTGGGAGTCTTTGAGACTTTAGTCTAACAGGCTTATTTGCTGATATGGTGATGAGATTTAGTCAGGATTTGACAATTTAAGCAAATTATTACCTAATTTTCGTGTATTGAAAGATCAATTTCCTTTGTTTTTAAGCAACAGAATATTGAAGTTATCAATTTTTCTTATAGAAAAGTGCTTGAAACTAGAAATCGGGTCACCTGATGGTAAGCAATCTTCGAAAAAAAGCAAGGAGGTGTTAAAAGTGCGTTGCTGGTCTTTTAAGGGTTGTTAGGGATTTGTTTTTCATTATGTATAATAGAAAATCATCATTTTCAGATCAGGTAACATTTTGTTTTGAATTGTCACTTACATTATTGTTATTGTAAGTTTAAAAGTAATAAAGCTTAAGACATATTTTTTGTTAATGTTTTTTTTTGAGTACTGAATTATGGAAAACTTGTTAACTAATCTCTAAACGTTTGAGAAGTAGGTACCTGAAGAATCACGTGCTGGAGTTTACGTTACAACAAGACAGTGCAAGCTCTATATTTTCTAAGGTATCATAAATCAAACACAAATCAACGTCACAACATAAATAATTATTCATTCAATATTTACATAAAACAACACAAAACGTGACAACACATGCTTATGTTCGTTACAATTAAAATATTAATATTGAACAACGATTTACAATATACAAATAGTCAAATATACATATAATATTAATATGCTTAATACAATTATCTACCATACGACCCGCTAATAAGGTTACTTTTCTAGGCAAAAGGAATGTAAAATATTAAAATTATTTTGAAATTTATTTTTATTATAAAATTCCTAAAGAATGAAATACATTTTTAAACTTATTATTTATATATTAAATTATAAAATTGCACGTATACAACTGGATATATAAAAACTGACTTTTTTGACATAAACTGTGTTTTATTTTTGTTGTTCTATAATCTTAAAGCTGACTAGTGGCACTGGGTTATTTGTAAAACATTATAAACAACTACTTAACAGCGTTAATAATATACCAGATCTTTCTCATGATTCGATATCATTCTTATAACTTATACAAACATAATAATCTCTTAATTATTAATACCCAACATTTCTTTTATTCAGATCATAACATGGTAACACTTACGTTACAATCGAGACTTTAACTTAAATCAAATAATATGTACTAGGTATTACATATTCACAATATCTAAACTAGAATTAATTACGTAAATCTTTTAATGAAATTGTTCAAAAAAACATTTCGTTTCATCGTTTGTTTTCGACGGTTGACACATAAAAAGCCTACCGACGCACATCTAGACATTACGCGCTTCCATTTTCAAATATCCTACACGTCATATCTCGAAAAATATTGAATGTTATGTAGGGTTATCGATTTTTCCTCAATAGATGGCGCTAATGGAGTAAATAGTCGAATTCGTCTAATCAATGTAACTGCCAACTTTTTATTGTTTTATTACATTTGCTTATTCGAGTTATTTTCCTTTAGCGTCTCTGGTCCCTATATCCAGCATAACCCTCATTCGAACGATCTTCTCAGTTCGATATTTTCTTAATTTATAAGGTGACGGTAAAGTCTCCGTCGTTGTGCTCGGCTTTAGGCTCGTGTGGCTCGCGATCTGGCATCTTCAGCATGAGGTGGTGGTCCCCGCTCTCTGTGCGACATCACAAACACAGGCACAGTTACATACACATACATTTATACATATCTACTACTCTAATGTGCTATAGGACATATAAGTGCAGACACTCATTTAGCTTACCGATCTTAGTATTACTGATTTGTGCTGAAATTGTAATCTCTAATCAGTCCTTATTAAAGTTCTATTTGGCAGTAACATTTTTACCCCTATATTTTTGTCTAGGGCATATTTTAGTCGATGTACAGTCGCCAACTAATTCAAGGTATTAACCGTCATGTTAATAAAAGTGTCAATATTTTCCTAAAATATTTTACACTTAACCTAGTTAAAAATTATTTGTACGAAAATATAGCAGACAAGGTAAGGCTCCTTTTAAGGTCAGCCGTGAATGTTTTTGTTGATAAGACGAGCAAACAGAGACTGTACATCGTATCAATCTTTGTGAGACCACGAGCAACTCGACAACATACAATCTAACACTAAATTAGTATTCATGGAAATTATCTATTACATTAGTTACATAGGTATGGTTTTTGTTAGACACAATGGATTAAATTATATATTTTAAAACAGAGAGCCACATTGAGGAAGTGATGTAAATTGTTAACAAAGTGCAATGACCTCACACCTAACACAAGTATTAGTAAAGTATGCACAATTAATAGTAGGTACACACAAACGGTTTTACCTAAAACCTAACCACAAATATTAGACAAAGCCTTATTCCTAGATGATTTATTATTTACATAGACAATGTCAGCAATGAGTACATAGTGATGTTAAACAAGACCACAAAATAAGAGTCGGTGACAAAAAAGATAAATAACGATAAATTCTTCAACTTCATAGAAATATTAAAAGCAAATGTAACACAACACACAATTACTAAGAACTGCAAGATTATTTTTATATTATTTTTAAAAATGGATCCATTAAAGTAATTTGGGCGGCCATATTGCCACAATTCAAATTGTACGTTCGAAATGACAGTCGACCGTTAAACCGATCGTCTTAAATGATCGACAAAACAAATGTATCCTGTATCAAAAAGGGGCAACAAATTGGCAAAATGGTACATCCTGTAGAGATTTGATAATATTGTTCCGACGGGTAACGGTCATGGTGATTGGTGTAGGAAAAGTTGATAAGATACGTTGACCTTCGCGGGAACGACTGGTAAGATGACAAACACAATAATCCTAAGCTTGAGTAGTGTTAAAGTTTCGTTGAAAGTGGTTTATAGCCGAAACTTCGAGAAGATTAAGCCGTAATTCTCCTATTGAGATAAGAACGTCTAAAATAGATATCATTAATGACATCTGTGCTCTAAATTGGCTTATCAAGATTTATAAACTGAATTCCAAACTGTTTGCTGATTTCGTGAAACATGACTTGGAAACAAGCACACAATAACATGTATTTTCCATTTTTCTTTGAAATGAAGAAACTCCTAACGATATCTATTGATCGTATATTGATAATAGGACGTTCCTATAAAATAATGAATAATGACGTCAAGATGCAAATTAATAGGTAATAACAAGTATTTTAAACTTTATTAACATTATGTTTGAGCACATAATTGTGTAAAAACACGTACGAGTCTGTAGCAAGTAATTTAAGTAAATTATACTTAGAATAACTGTTCGCACGTCTAGTGCTAACTGGAAACTTGTGATCTTATTAAAGAGTTGCTAATTAAAGTAACTACCAACATTATAATATGTTAGTAAGGATACAAATAAATGTGAGACATATTTTTACTGGAAAATATTTTGAAATATTTTTATATTTTTCAATCACGTGATCATCCAAGCTTCAATTTCGCGTTCCATTTTTTACAATTAATTTTTTTATATTTAAAATCAAAACGTTCTAATCGAAACTTCCTGAACAACGACGAAATATCTACATCTGCAATATATACCTACTTTATATATGTACCTATGTATGATTATGATATATGTATATACCTATATATCTTTAAACTACACTTTGTTTTGATACGGAGTTGCAACCTCAAACCACCACCTACTCTTTTGCACTTTGCTCGTTAAATACATACATTACTTCAACTCGAAAGCCATATTAATTGAATCTGTCACACGATACGATAAATACTAAACACATGTTAACTTACACCTGAATTATTATGAACAAATTAGCCACAGGTTATCAATATACATAATTAATAATGTGTCGTGGTAGCCCGGAGAATAAGGCGCCCGATTCTCATCCATGAAACGGGTGTGAAACCAAGCTAGCCCCAACGTGACTTTTTCCGAGTTATATATATTTGTTTTTGTGATATATATGTACTTTCTTAATTTATTTAAACACCACTGACAAACGGTAATGGAAAATATCGCGAGGAAGCCTTGATTAACAATTTCCAGTTGTAAATTTTGGAATTGCCAATACGCCTTGAGGAAACTCGGTGTTTAATACTTAATCCTTCTCCGTGTAAGAAGAGACCTTTGCTCAGCATTGGACAGTATATAGGCTGATGATTATTCGATGTGAATCAATCAATATACATATGTTTAGATATATATGTACTTCTTGCATGTATATTCACACCACATATTGGAATATATATATTAACCATTGTGTATAAATATGTGACACGCTTCATAAGATCAAGAGAACTAACGAGACGTGAATAACAACTTTATTATTAACATATAATAATGTCTATTATTCCTTAAGTATGTAGGAAGTACCATTTTAATCTACACTTTCTTTGAAACCGTTTTAAGTGCATTTTTGATTGACATGACAAGTATTTATAAGGAAATATCAATGTAAACAGGTTGTTATTATATTTTTTCCTGTTTTCATTTTCATATCTTGTTAATAGCTTTTTATTGAACATTAATTAGAAAGAAAGTGCTGATATGAATTGAAAAACAACGTGCAAACACATGTTAATGGGTTAAAAGAACTATGAAAGTCAGAAAACAAAATAAATTAGAAATTATCTTGAGAATACGAGAGCTGTCTGTTGACCTGAGATAAACAGTAATATAATATTACTAATATCATATCTCTACATAATTATATGCAGCGGAAACATTGCAAGTGCAAGAAACTTGCATCTACATAGTAATTGTACTTATTGTTCTATGTACTTACTACATGAGTTATTGCAAGTGCCGTTTAAATATAAACTTATTTATGTAGGTCGATCTATTTGTTACCAAACAAAGAAACACATATGGACATAAATGTTATTTTCTTAAATCGTTATCCAAATGTCTAAAACCGATAACATAATACTTTATCTTACGAACATACCTCTACCTAATCGTACAAAGATTATTATGATAAATTAACAAATCTATGAATATGACTATTTCTAAGACTATTCCTGTCATGGATAGAAACACAGAGAAGCGTTGTTAGTTAACCTTGGGCACATATAACCAGCTACCGCCACCACATCTACCACCAGATTTAAGTCGTAAAAGGAACTCACCGATCGATCTACGATCACCCTGACTGCCGTAGAACTCGTCCAACTCCTTGGCTGAGCACAGCGGCGTGTCTACCTGCATTGTCTCCTCGAACTTGGAATAGTCCACCTCGTACCCTTGACGCTCACGGTTGTACGTCACCAACGGGACGAACCTGTGTCCCCACATTATTTCACTGGTCGTGTAACTGGAGCGAGCCTGAGTCGTCTGACCCGTAGATTCAATCGTTCCCTCCAAAATAACTACTATCTCAAATCGCTCTTGCAACACATCCGCCGCAGATACACCATAGAACGGACTGTCAGCGTTTATCTTATGTACCATCGTAATGGGCCAAATGAAGAATAAGTTACTGTCGCAACCATCTGCGTTGAGCTCCAGTTCCGTCTGATAATGAGACAGGACTTCACCTTCCTTGGTTGTTCGAGATCGTATCAACTGGGCCCGTACACTGGCTCCAATAATGTGTGACTTCCTCAAGTCGCCCACTCTGAACATCAAGCACAGCTCACCGTCTCGCTGGCACACTACTGCGTACTTTGAGAATAGGAGCGTCTGTGTCCTGTGCTTGGGTCGCGTCATCTTAGCGAACACAATACCAACCATAAAGGCTTGGATCATCACACCAACAATACTTTGTAAACACATGATGAATATTGCTTCAGGGCACTCTTCGGTAGTCGTACGCGAGCCGTAACCAATTGTGTGCTGCGTCTCAATACTGAACAGGAAGCAGGAGGTGAAGTCGTAAATATTGAACACACACGGCTTCCAGTTAGACGCTTCCTGCATGGGAGGCAGGTGGTCCGGCTCTAAGTCTCCATGTGTGAATGATATCAGCCACCAGATCAATGCAAATCCCAGCCAGGATAATATGAAGGAGAGTGTGAATACCAGCAGTGTCCATCGCCATTGTGCGTCCACGAGGGTCGTGAACATATCCTGAAGGAACCTCAACCGCCGCTGCGAGATCTTAGACTTGAGTATATTACACTCTCCATTTTTGAGAATGGCTCGTCGCCTCGCTCGTCTTGTTGCACCATGTCTATGAGATCGACTCCTGAAACCAAACACGACCACATGAACACATGTTTATATACGTTTCACTTCGATAACTATAGTCTCTACATAAGTATCTAGTCGCTACACTGATACTCCTGGAAGTGTGAATGTCTAGTTCACGCTTGCATCGCCGCACTATGGCGACTGTGACCTTCGTCAATGGTAATATGGATAATATGCTGCCTCGAACATAGCGAATGGGCTTTCTAATTAACATAAATCGTTCGTAATAATCACGACATGAAACAAAAAGAGGACATTTGGACGCAAATAAACGGACAAAAGCGACACAGTACGGGATGGTATCTGTCGGAGACGGCACGGGGTGTCGGTCGTCGACCAACCTCTTGCTGCCTGTAGTAGGGTAGTAGATGCCCGGCGAGAGATTGCCGTTGGCTGGCACCGGCTTCACTTTGAGCCAGTCGTCGGGCAGCAGCTGCGACTCCTCGCGACAGGTGGGGGACTCCGGGTCGGCGTGCATGGCTGATGCGGCGTCGTGCGCTCGACTCACTGGCAGCGGACCGTCTGCGCCACCATCCCTCAGTGGGCAGCCTCCTGAAGCATCGCGCGCGATAATGTCTCGGTCACGACTGACTCTCTCGTGCCCGCCCGCACAAAGGCGCGCTAATCGTTGTATAATTGTAACGCGAGATTCTATATCGGAAATTATCAGCTCGCTACGGAAAACAAATTTTAGTTAGTGCCTTCGTTGACGTTATCAGACCTACAGGATGATATTTTGGTACACTCTGATATGTGTGAGTGAAGGCTATAAAACTTGAGATGATTTAAAAAACGAATTAAAATTTTAAATTCGTACGAATTAAAAGAGTAAGTCTCTCTGTGCCGGTAACTTGGATATCTGGAGCATAATCATCACTGTATTTCCTTTTATACAGTGTGACAGTTTATGATATAAGATTACGAGATTGTGGCATAAAATAATGAAATCCAAACAGAGCACAAGCCACTGACAGTCGTTATTAGCGTCATTAGAGATGCGCAGGCGACAAGTTAATATTTACTGCTAATAATAATTATTTATGTCCATTTGTTCGTCACTCGTTTGCATAGCTCACCGCATCATTTAATGTTTTGTTTCAATATTTTCGATGATTCTTGTGTGCATTGGTAAACTAGAGGTACAATAACAACTCCCTTGAGTTATGGCTGGCCGTTTTAAGTACGAACGATTTATATAATGCTGATGTTACTGAACAATAATACATAAAGTATTTTCTAATCTATGATCGCTATTTTTTAACTTTAGTGTGAACTTGTCAACGTTATTTATTATTTATATATTTTAAATGCAATTTTTATATAAGGTAGGAAGTGTAGTGTCATAATTATATCGGTAAAAGGATTTAATTTGTCTACACTTGCATGCTTTAACAAATGAAAACAAATTATTTTATAACCAAAATTGAATAATACAGTACTACTACTATACATTCTTTATGTAGTAATGCAACCCAAATAACAATCCATGATATATTTTAAAAGTCAAAAGTCAAAAATCATTTATTCCAATTAGACCTTTACAGGCACTTTTGAACGTCAAACAAAATATAAAATAAAAAAATAGTGTCAGTCTGTCGGTCAGTCCTCTTAGTGAAGCTATTTGCTCGTTCCAAAGTGTAGATTCCGATGGAGAAGAACGAGCAAGAAACTCCAAGGTTACTCTTTTTAAATCAGTTTCACATACAGATTCCTTTTACAAACAGTTGGTTCAATTATGTGAGAACAGTGTAACACTAATATTTATTCAAATATAAAAATAAAGTAACCTTAAGGACAATAGACAGTCTGGAGCTGACCAGTCCCAACTGACGGCGCTCGTTCACGAGCATGACACGTACACCAGCATCGCCCAACTCAACCATATTATAGGGAATTAAGCGATCCAGTGCCCATGCCACCGCCAGTGTGACCTTTCAGTGAGCATGACAACTCCAAGCTGTTATAAGGACCGACATTCTGCTAGTCTAACCAATTATAATAGGTACAATTTAAGGCAAAGATTTAAAATTAAGTATAAGGTTTTAATGCGAAAGAGTTTAATATAATTATGCTGATTTTTGGAGTTTATAATGTTAATGGGATAAATTCATTTGCTTTGCTCCTGTGTCGTGGGCGCGTTAACAAACATACAATTTCACGTACACATCATATCCAGACACGGAACAACAATTTATGGATCACACAAAGAGTTGTTCCGTGCGGGGGATTCGAACCAGTGATACACTACTCCAACTTATTTTTTTTATACAAAATATTACCCTAAACTAGAATTTTATCTTGTGTCGTGTATGCGTTTTTAAACATACAATTTCAAATACACATAACACTCAGATCCAGAACAACAATTTTCGGATCACAGAGTTGTTTCGTATGTGAATCGAACCAGTGGCATGTTGCACGGCAGCTGGTTGTCAAGCTGCATCAACTATACAGTTGAATACTATAATACCAACCACTCTTTTTTTATTATAACTTTCGTGAGACATTCTAAATTAATTATTATGTTGTTACATGATATCGCCAATGGTAATGTTAGGTTGTGTTTTCGACTTACTCGGCCTCTAGCATGGCTTGAAACTAGTCGAGTATCTCGTCAAATTATTACGTGAGTAAGCCAAAAACATAATAATTAACCAACCACTCTATTGTTTTTTATTTTATTTTGAAAGCCTTACTCTAACCCCTGATAATTCCGTGTGGTAATTGAAATGTCCAAGTATACTCAAGAGCGTCACACACCACGGGTTATTAAACATTTTAAGTCACAAATCACGGAAACTGCTAAACCTATTTTAGTGAACTCGATAGGTACCTACTCATACGCTATATTAGATATAATCTAAATGGTCTAAAAAGAGTTTGTAGAGCCAGAGACTCATAATTTTATGCTTCAATACAAAACTAAAGTTTTCCAGTAATAAGTTTGTTGTCTCCAGTCGAAAAAAAATAAATAAATAGATTACGGTTTTGTGATTATACTTCCCCGACTGTAATCGAAATTCAAGCAATAATGCTGATTAAGATTAATATCTGCTGTTGATACGTACAAATAACGCAATCTACCACCTAACAATTGGGTGTTTATTTATCAATATAATATTGCACAATTTGCTCATTCTTTTGTTAAAGAACAAGGCAAATTACACCTGATAAGAATATTTTGTATTTTGTTGTAACATTAATACTCGTGCGTTCCGCTAATACAGCAATGCCTCATTCAGAAGAATCTAAAGTTTTATTAAAATTTGCCTTACATTTCCATTGGCGATATCATGTAACAAAACATTATAAGTCGTTTAAGTACTGGTATTTGATAAAAACGCATCTATTCAAGCACTTCTGTAGCAACCTCTACGAAAGCAGATGTTTGACGGTCAAGGACTACGGCGCTACGAGTTTCGCTACGCAACGTAGCTGCTACGCCGAATACTTAAATATGAAATGTAAATAAACGAAACGGTGTTTGCATATGTTTTTAAAACGTCCTGTATACGAGAATAAAATGGCGCTCACCCCAGCCTTTTCATTAAAATAGCTAATTTGACAGCGCGCAAATTGTTACGTGCTAATGCGCATCTTTTTCCAACACTAATTTGTTGTTCTCGATCATTTCCCGATTCAAGGACATAAACTGTTAAACATCTGTTAAAAGGAGAGTTGTTTATTTGCTTTATAGATGTTCAAAATATTTTGATACAGATGTACCTACCTGTAGTTAACATATTACGCATGATTCTGTGAGTTATACGCAATGCTGTTACTTGTAGTAATATTATATGAGTAGATACTAGAAACTAAGTAATAATTGATCAGAAATACACAAACCAACAAAAACAAAAAACAAAGTTCATCAATTTCTAATCAGTAAAAACTGTAGCTGGCTATAAAAAGAATACATAAATTTGATTATTTCATAAATACATGATAGGATAACTAATCAAGTTAGCTATTTATAAGGAAATTTCAAAATAAGTTTGCTAATTTAATCAACACATTGTTAAATCACACTTAATAATCGATTCTCCATATTTTTCCACGACCCCGCCTCCAATGAAAACCCAGCCCACATTATATCATACCTAATACCTATACAACATTGACATACACCTATGTATGTACATATATATTTAATCACAATGATCCCAATTCTAAGTCCAAAACGACAATCGTAGATGACGATTTGTTTACATCGTGATTTTCCGAAGAATTAATTTACACCACGCCTTCAGGTAAACATAGATCCACACGACATTTTCTCGAGTTGTAAATAGCGCAACAAATTAATCGTGATACCAAAATAAACACCTCGTTGTAGGTGACATCTGGTTATTTTTCCGTAAGCGTAGCTTCGGTTGCTAGCTGTAAAGGGGCGCCACTCCTCCATAATTTAATTATCACTGTTAATTTCGGATTTTACGTCGTTAAACCGTGATAGTAAGGGGACACGTTTAGCACTAATTGTATTGTAACGATTCATATATCGTGTCTTATGATTGTATTACATATTATCATTAAATCGTAGTAAAACTTTAGCCTGCACCTAGAGCTTGCCATAAAAGCAAAGTTGTTTAGTTTCCTGAGCTAAATAAAAATTGTTTGAACTTATAATATTATAAATATGCTTAATAATCCACCTGCCATATGCCACCTGCGTTAACTAACTTTACAATATGTTAATTAAAACAAAAACATAGAAAATTCATATATGTCATTTTTGATATATCAGAAAAAGTATAAAATTTGACTAATTGGAAACTATCTTAATCTACTCAAACGCTGTTTAGTTATTTTTTTTTATTTTTTATTTAACACTTTATGTACATACAAAATCATATATACAAAGGCGGACTTAATGCCCGAAGGCATTCTCTACCAGTCAACCTCAAGGGTGATGCAGAGAAGTGTTAATAATAGGTTTTAAACAAGCACACAATGATTAAAAAGTACAGGCATGTAAGGCAACATTTACATATAATACAAAACATAATATATGAATACAATAAATCGAATCTACAAATACACATATAACATATAAATAATACATAAATAATATAATTAAATATGGGAAGAATAGATTACGAATATATACAAGAACAAAAACAACAATACACTAATTAGTGGAATCTGTCAGTTTCTTTAGCAAGTAATTCCGAACTTTAAATTTGAAAGATAGCCGACTGGTTGCCGTCCTGATATCCGTGGGCTACGCATTCCACAGCAAAATTGATTGAACAGGAAAAGAATAATGTACAAAGTCAGTCCGGTGTGAGGGACAGTGGAGGAGACGATTATTTGTGGACCGAAGATATTTGCTATGGTTGGCGCTTACATACTGAAAATAGGGGGCCAAATAACTAGGAGAAGTAGAATAACTAGAATAACTAGTAGAAGTAGTACAGAGAAGTGAGAATAAAGTGGTTAGCGCGCGTTGTTCCCTGCGCTGACGTATGGGCAACCACTTTAGTTGCAATCGATAGGCAGAGACATGGTCGTATTTGCGCAGGTTGAAGACGAATCGAATGCAGTTATTC